AGTGTAAGCAGAGAGGACACATTCCAGGAGATAGAAGAGGACAGAACAGCAGCAGAGGGGCACCTGGAGACTGACAGACACAGGAAAGCAGTGGATACAATGGTGTGGTGCTGGGGTCCGTGTGATGGGTGTGGAAGACAGGAAGGTGTGAAGAGTATCGTTCTATTGCAGGCAAGGCCGCAAGGAACTTCCCGCTGTGTGGCAAGGCCCAGCGGATGTCTCTACAACACCTGAATGCAGCTCTGCCTCCCTTTGCATGGACAACCCCATTGAGATTTCTGTAATTTATTTAGGCATTGCCTGCCTCTGCGGAGTTACTGTTAAATATCAATAGGAACTTAGAAGCTAATGTTGCTGGTGCCGTTTTTAGCCAAAGAGCTATTGTCGCTGTTAGGGCTGCATCCTGTGGCAATATGCTAATCAAGGGTGCTAACTCCCCTTTTGATCCTATGCTAATCAAAGGTGTTCTGTCTTCAGGTGTAGTGGGAATCTATTCTTTCCCTCTTTCTTTGATCTTTTAGGGCCCTTCCTTCCTTGACTATCTCAAGACCAAGCTGTAAAGTAATTGTGGTAGGAATGTGTTAGTGACTGATATGCACCATCTATTGAGAACCTTTTCCTAGCCAGGCGCCAGGTGCCAGGCACCAGGTGGTTAACATTCTAGCCTTAGGTGCAACAAATGGCAGAGTTATCTTTGGAAACACCCACTTGACCATGACATAAAAAGTCTGAGCCAGAGTTTGACTGATTTTGTATAAATAAAGCGGACAGCTTTTGTGCGTAGTCCATTATGATGATGAAGAGTTACTAGTGGTCCGTCTCTTTCTTTCTTTCTCTCTCTCTTTCTTTGCGCCTCATCCACGCACCCTTCGCGAGTTCCAAACTCAGCTGGAGCTGGACTCCGGCAGTGTGGTGCTGCAGTGACTGATACCCCAGCGGCATTCAGCGAGCCACGATCTAAACTCCACCAGGAACCAGAATGCCACCAGCAACCAGGTGGGAAGGGACATTTACCAGGAGCTCTGGAGGTGAACCCAGACAAAGAACTGCCTGTCTTGCTGGTCTGTTTGATTTGACCAGGAGCAGAGTGTTAGATGATGACCACTGACCACCCGCCCGCTGGTGGGATAATATCAGCAAGTTTTCCATAGTTGTAACAGAAGCTTTATTGCAAAACCCACTCCTGGGCCCCCTTCACGCAGAGTGGAAGGAAGATGGAGGCGAAAAGGGCAGCTGAGATACATGTCCAGGAGTTTTATACTCCTCTAGACACATGGGCTGCCAAAGGGGCTGTCTATGCCCCAATTATGTAAGGAATGTCCATTCAGATGTGCCATTGTTCAGCAGGAATCCCACCAGGCCGGTGACTTAACTGGCTCCTGTGGACCCTCCTGTTCTGGACTAAAGCCTGGGAGTCATGCTGTGTCTGGAGCAGATCCAGCCCCTCATCTCCGGTGCCCTGGGTAGCCATCACAGAGAAAGCGTGGCAGATCCGAGACGGACAGTGCTGGAACAGGGTGGATTTCACAGCCCAGTCCACCCACTAGAGCCTATTGGGCAACATTTTTTTTTTAAGGAGGCAAGGGCCATGGACAGTACTGCACATGCTCAGAGCCAGGAGTGAACTCATTTCTGGCTCAGTGAACTGTAATAACGTGGCATTATACAGGTTCCACTCAAGACAGGTCTGGGTAGCCCTCAGACCTGACGGCCAGCAGATCAAGAACTCTAATAGTGGCACATCAGGCATGATTTCTGGCAGGGTGGCAAAGAATTTAAGACTGCAGGAGACAATAGTGAGCTGTGCATGTGCTGAGCTCAGCGAGAACTCACCCAGCTCACTGCATTGCACTGGTTCCACAGGAAAATAATGCCGACTGTGGCATTGTTTGGGTAAAAACAGGCCCGTGTGGCCCTCAGACCTAACGGTCAACAAGTTCCGGCAAGATCAGCACCACCAACAAAAACTAGCTATGTAGGACACCAGGTGTCTCCCTACTCCAACCAGAAGTGGGAGAAAGGTTGTGCAGACAACGGTGCAGCCTCAGCATGGAATCACAGGAGGTGGAGACTGGTGAGCCAGGAGCTGAGGCTAGAGAAACCATGGTGGAAATCTAACATAAGAACCCAGACCTGGGGCCTGTTTCAGTGACCTAGTGGCTAAAGTCCTTGCCTTGAAAACGTGCCAGGATCACATATGGGCACTGGTTCTAATCCCGGTAGCTCTGCTTCCCATTCAGCTCCCTGCTTATGGACTGGGAAAGCACTCACTTGGGACCCTGCACCCACGTGGGTGACCTGGAGGAAGTTCCTGGCTCGTGGCTTTGGATTGGTGCAGCACCGGCCGTTGTGCTCACTTGGGGAGTGAATAATCGGACGGAAGATCTTCCTCTCTGTCTCTCCTCCTGTCTGTATATCTGACTTTCCTATAAAAATAAAATAAATCTTAAAAAAAAGAGAGAGAAAAGAACCCAGACCTGGAATTCGCTGGAGAGAATGACACAAGTGACTGCAAACAAAAAGCCATGTACCAACTGCAATAAGTAAAATCAAACTGTAGACCTGTGGGTGACAGAGCTTAGAAACCTGCTCCAAGGAGAAGAATCTGATAACCGGAAGTACAATGACCAAGAGCAAAAAAAAAAAAAGAGACAGAGGCACAATGAATATTACTCAAGACTCTGTTGCAAAGGAACAAAATCCTTTGTCAACCTCAGAGTTAAGTGAGGAAGACATTGAGAAAATGGGGGATACAGAATTCAAAACAAATGTTATAAAACTTCTTATCAACAATGAGAAGCACGGAAAGCAGGCATTCAAGGAATTTAAGGAATATGTCACACTGGAAATGAATCAAATGAAACCTGATATATCAGAAGTGAAGAATCCAGTGGAGCCAATTAAAAGGACAGTGGAGAGTCTCCAAAATAGAATGAAGCAAGCAGAAGAAAGAATCTCATAATTAGAAGATATTTTCTGTCATCAAGGGGAAGCAAACTAAAAGCTGGAAGCAGAGCTGGATCAGGCCAAAAAAAGTATTCAAGAATCGAAAGACACTATTAAGAGGTTTAATGTAAGACTTACGGGAGTCCAAGAAGGTGCAGAAAGAGAAACTGCTTTTACAAACATATTTAATGAAATAATAAAGGAAAAATTTCCTTGTCTAGAGAAAGAATTGGGAAACAAGATCCAGGAGGGACACAGAACTCCCTACAGGCTTGATCAAAAGCGATATTCACAACACATGATCATCAAGCTCTTCCTTATCGAACATAAGGAAAAGATCCTCAAATGTGTACGTGAAAAAAAAAAATCAATCGACATACAAAAGAATGTCAATTAAACTCACAGAAGATCTCTCAGAGGAAACTCTACAGGTCAGAAGAGATTAGAGTGACATGTTCCAGATTCTAAAAGCAAAAAATTGTCAGTCCAGGATAACATATCCAGTAAAGCTTTCCTTTGTCTTTGAAAAGGAAATAAAATTCTTCCACAGTAAAGAAAAGTTAACTCAAAGGCAAATGTAAAGAACATTTCAGTGAAATAGAAGATTAAATCAATGAACAACCCATTGCTAAAATGACAGAACCAAATTACCACCTGTTTGTATTAATCCTGAATGTAAACAGCTTAAACTCATCAATCAAACATCATTAGTAGACTGGATTAAAAAACAAAACCCATCTATTTGTTGCCTACAGTAGACATCAACGGAAAGTGTTATCACATGGATTTTGATCTTTTTTGTTTCACTTTCTTCTCATTACATTCTTCCATGACTCACAGATCATGTAATAGCATCACTTTCTTCAAGAAGGTTCTTTTTCATTTCTTCAGCAACATGTTAGTCATTCAGTAGCATGTTATTTAACTTCATGGTGTTGTTAATTATTTTTCTTCCTGTTGTTGATCATGTTTCATGGGTTTTGATTTAAGGGGATGCATAGTAACTGTGTAATGGAGACTATCATATCCAGATGTGAGGATACAATGCAGTACGCACCTCCACTTCCAAAGATGGACTCCCGATAAAGCTGTTTACTGCATCTTGACAATAGGATGCTGGACTCTCCCATTGTCCATGCACAGAATGATGGACACACGACTGTGTATGGGGGAACCCTACTATGGTAACGACATAGGGGAACTCAGTGAGGGAGGAGGCTATTGGCTGGAAATAAGGGAAATCCCAGGGCCTCTGGAACTGTATCATAAAATGATAATTAATTTTTTAAAAATCTCATTAAAATGGAGCTGCCAGATGACTTCTACATGATCAGATCATCCACACCAGTGAACCAAACAACAGTAAACAACAGTCAAGCATTCCTGGGCACCCATTTGCCCAGCTGACCGGGTCCCTTTCCAGGGCCTCTCCTCAGTTCTCCAGGCTCGGCCCTCCTCCCTCGGCTCCCCAGGCGATCCCACGCTCCGGCCCTCCTCCCTCGGCTCCCCAGGCTCGGCCCTCCTCCCTCGGCTCCCCAGGCTCGGCCCTCTTCCCTCGGCTCCCTAGGCGATCCCACGCTCCGGCCCTCCTCCCTCGGCTCCCCAGACTCGGCCCTTCTCCCTCGGCTCCCCACGCTCCGGCCCTCCTCCCTCGGCTCCCCAGGTTCGGCCCTCCTCCCTCAGCTCCTCAGGCTCGGTCCCTCACGCTCCGGCCATCCTCCTCCCTCGGCTCCCCAGGCTCGGCCCTCCTCCCTCGGCTCCCCAGGCGACCCCACGCTCCGCGCACCGGCCTGGCGGGCCGAGCCACAAAGCGCGCACCCAGCAGGCAGAGCTGCCGGGACCAGCCCTCAGTCCCTCCCCCACACCGCGTCTTTCCGCTCTGGGCGTCCCGTTTCCCGAAGGCGCTGCGAGACTCCGCTGCGCCCGCCTTTACGTGATTGGCTCCTGTGCGCGTCACTCCGGGTTCTCGAGCTCGCCATTGGTCACTTTCCTCACGGCCCCGTGACGCCGCCCAAGTGGCCTGTGGCCCGGCGGAGTTCGCGCCGGCCCCGCGGTGTGTGTCGCAGTCGGTTTTCCTCGGCGGTTTGCGAGGCCCCGGCCATGGCGGCCGCAGCGCCGGCTGCAGAAGGCGCAGACCTGAGCGCAGCTCCCGTGGCAGACGCCTCCAGCAACGTGGCGTTTGGGGAAGAGGAAGGAGTTGGCTCGGCGGGCGCGGAGAGGGACGGACTCCCGGGAGGAGCGGAGACCTTGGCAGAGAGCGAGGAGGACGAGGAGGATGTTTTCGAAGTGGAGAAGATCCTGGACATGAAGACCGAGGGCGTACGTGCGGGCGGGTCCCGGGGCGGCGGGCGGGAGCGCTGCAGCTGGGCGGCTGTGCAGCCAGGGCCGTGCACTGGGCACCGCGAGGCTGCAGGAGGCTGCGGGCGGCTGCAGAAGGGCTCGTGCTGGGGCGCAGGCACACACGGAGCCGCTCCGCCTGCTCCCTTCCTGGCCCTGCGTTCGTGCTCCTCAGCCCCGACGGAACTCCCGCTCAGCCCGGTCTCAGCCCCGAGGGCCTTGCAGAACTGGCCCAGTGTCCTGTCTGCCTGCGTGAGTTGCACCTCACAGCTGCCTTGGTCGTCCTTGTCCTTCTCCCGTGAAATCCTGCGCTGCCCGCCGAGGGAGGCGCCTTCTCTCCGCCACCCTTGTTATTGAATCGGTGCAGACCTCTGTTGAGGGCATCAGCCTGGTACTTCTTCCAGTGCTTGGCATGTGGTAGTTGCTTAGTGTGGATCGGCTTATTGCACGAGTGAGCTGCAGCGGAGGGAGGAGAGAGGAGGCAGCGTGAACCGTGGCAAAGGTTTCTGTACTTAAGGGGGCAGGTACCTCGGCCCAGGTGGACAGTCTGTATGTCATTTTGTTTAGAAGGTTTACTAATGAATGTTTTTAAGTCAGAGCGACACAGAGCATCGTCTACCCACTGATTCACAGTGCCGGGACTATCCCCCACTGCCTTTCCCAGGCAGGTAGCTGGATCTGCAGCGAAGTAGCTGGGATTCCAAAATGGGATGCCAGCATTACAGGCAGTGTCTTAAACCGTTGGGCCAGTCCCAGGAACCAATCTTTGCTTGCTTGTTTTCTATTGCCTGTGTTTAACTAAACTAAGTGCTGTTGTGTAAGTTAATTTAGAAAACAGGGAGTATTTAATTAGGAGGATGATTTTTTTTTTAAGATTTGTTTATTTTTATAGGAAAGTCAGATATACAGAGAGGAAGAGAGACAGAGAGGAAGATCTTCCATCCGATGATTCACTCCCCAAGTGAGTGCAACAGCCGATGCTATGCCGATCCAAAGCCAGGATCCAGGAATTTCTTCCGGGTCTCCCACACGGGTGCAGGGTCCCATGGCTTTGGGCCGTCCTCGACTGCTTTCCCAGGCCACAAGCCGGGAGCTGGATGGGAAGTAGAGCTGCTGGGATTAGAACTGGCGCTCATATGGGATCCCAGTGTGTTCAAGGTGAGGACTTCAGCCGCTAGGCTACGCCGCCGGCCCGGATGATATCTTTTTTAAAAGATTGATTGATTGGTTGATTTGAATGAGATTTCTCTCTGAGAAAGATCCGGAAGAATTCAAAGGTAGCATACAAATGCAAAGAGGTGGGGAGAGGTTTTCAGTTGTGTGGGTGTCCTCTGTGAACTTGGCCAGAGGGAGCCACGGGAGGGTCAGGAGTGAGGCAAGCCGCTCAGGCAGGAGTCCAAAATGGGCATTTAATTGAGCTGCAGGTGTGTGTTGTTCGGGGCATGCCATTGTTTTGTTAAAGCTCAAAATTGGTTGCTAACATTTAAGTTCTGTGGGTGAAGCCGCTGCTTGCAACACCAGTTGAGTCATGGCTGTTTTGTTTACAGACCAGCTCCGTGCTAATGTGCCCGAGAAGACAGCAGAAAATGGTCCCGTACTTGGACCCCTGCTGCCCTGGGAAGACCTAGACTGCTTCCATACTCACAGTGCGGTAGTGGGATTGTATTGTCGTGATATGTTTTCTCTTCAACCTGTGGTGGAAATTGTTTCTGAAAGTGAGTGTACTAATTTTTCTAAAAAAAAAGATTTGCTTATTTTTATTGGAAAGTCAAATATACAGAGAGGAGGAGAGACAAAGATCTTCTGTCCGCTAACTTACTCCCCAAGTGGCCGCAATGGCTGGAGCGGAGCCGAAGCCAGGAACCAGGAGCTTCTTCTGTATCTCCCCGGCAGGTGCAGGGTCCCGAGGTGAAATAAATAAATAAAATGAAAGAAAGACAGAGCAAGAGTGAGCTCTCACTTGTTAGTTGACTCCTTAAATGCCAGCAGTGGCTGCAGCTGGACCAGGCCAGAGCCTTCGTTCAGTGTGGAAGTCAGAACTGCTTGCAGGGTTGGCATCACCGGAGACAGGAACCGTGCCTGGCTCAGACACAGGCACCTGTGAGAAAGGGTTACCGTAACCACTATTTCAGCTGCTAGGTATGCCCTCCCTAATTTGTATTTTTCATGAATGCATAAACATAAATACATGTGTATTTTCATTGGATAACAGACTTAACACTGTATTTATTGTTTTTGAGGAATTTTTTTTTTTTTAAAGATTTGTGTATTTGAAAGTGGGAGAGGTGTTTTTCATTTGCTGTTTCATTCCCTAAACAGCTGCACCAGCCAGGGATGCAACTCCATCTTTGTCTCCCATGTGAGTGGCAGAGGTCCAGGCACTTGGGTCATCTTTGGCTGCTTTTCCAGGCACCTACATTAGCAAGGAGCTGGGAATTAAATTAGCACCCATATGGGGTGCCAGCATTACAGATGACCGCCTAATCCACTGTGCCACAGCCCTGGCCCTAATTATGAAGATATTTTAAAAAAGAGAGATTTGTTGTGCCCAGCGCAGTAGCCATGTGCCAGGAACCCATATGACGTTGGTTTGTACCCCAGCTGCTCCACTTCCCTTCCAGCTCTCTGATTGTGACCTAGGAAAGCAGTATAAGATGGCCTTGGGACCCTGCACCCCCATGGGAGATCTGAGGGAGACTCCTGGCTCCTAGCTTTGGATTGGTTCAGCTCTGGCCATTGTGGCCATGTGGGGAGTGAAGCAGCAGATGGCAAATCTGTTTTTCCTTTTCTGTGTCTCTGATTTTACAATGAAAACAAATGGATCTTTAAAAAAGAAAACGACATTCTCATGATGCAATGTAATAAAATAATAATAATAATAATAAAAAAAAAAGAAAAAAAAAAAAAAAAAGAAAACGACATTGAAGATTTGTTAATTTATTGGAAGGCGTGGGAGGGGAAGAAGACAGAGAGAAAATCCTAGAGCTGTTGTTTCACAAATGGCCAAGTCCTGAGCAGGTCTGGAGCCAAAGACACCTTCCTCGTTACCCACGTGGGTGGCTGGGCCTGCCTGGCCATCTTCCGCTGCCTTCCCAGGCACATTGGCAGGAAGCTGCATCAGAAGCAGAGCAGCTGGGACTTGAAGCAACGGTGTGAGAAGATGTGCCACCGTGCTGGCTCCTCCCCCTGTTTTTATGCCCACACTCGAAGGTCGTCTGTTTCCTGACCTGTAATTGATAAAAAGTTAACACGTTCTCTGGGATAACTCATCGGATGTTTCCATCACGACCAGGCACGGTTCCTTTCTTTAGACGGCACTGCGTACCACGAAGGTTACTCTCCCCGGTCGTATAGGCTTCTTAAACAGCATTGCTCACTCACCTTTTTTTATTCTTTGATTTTAACACACTGTTGTAGAAACTTTAAAAATTGTAGTTTTCTTTCTATGCTGTTTTTTTTTTAAAGATTTATTTATTTATTGGAAAGTCAGATATACAGAGAGGAGGAGAGACAGAGAGGAAGATCTTCTGTCCGATGATTCACTCCCCAAGTGAGCACAAAGGCTGATGCTATGCCGATCCAAAGCCAGGATCCAGGAACCTCTTCCGGGTCTCCCACACGGGTGCAGGGTCCCAAGGCTTTAGGGCTGTCCTCGACTGCTTTCCCAGGCCACAGGCAGGGAGCTGGATGGGAAGTGGGGCTGCCAGGATTAGAACCAGCACGCATGTAGGATCCCATCCCATGCAAGGCAAGGACTTTGCTATCGTGCTGGGCCCAAATGAACTGTTTTGTTGGTGAGTTGTAGAATTGTTGTTGTAGAATTGTTTATTTACTCTAGATTCTTAACCAGATTTGATTTGTGAATATTTTCTCCCATTCTCTTGGTTCTCTTTTTCATTCTGTTGGCAATGCTGATGCACAAAAGTTAAGTTATATTTACAGGTTTTTGGGCGGGGGGGAAGAAAAATACCTACTCTTGAGCTTAAGGTTTTAGCTTATTTTCATATTTATTTAAGAGATGAAGAGCTCCCACCTGTTGTCTCACACCCTCTCCCCCCATACCTGCAAAAGCTGGGCTGGACAGAAGCTGGGACCCCGAAACTCCACCAAGCCTCCCTCGTCAGTGGTAGGCATCTAGCTGGAGCCATACTCGCTGTCGTCACTGTCTCCCTGGTCCGCATTACCCGGAAGCTGAACTCAGGTCCTTGGGCCATTTTTTGTTGCCTTCCAGGCGTACTAGTAGGGGATTAAATCAGCAGTGGACCAGCCGGGCCAATCCCATGCTTGTTGTGCTGGCATCTCCTGTGGGCACCAGTTGGAGCCCCAGCTGCTTCACTTCCAATCGTGCGCCACATGGCTCAAGTGCACCCGAGGGGGGAACCTGGATGAAGCACCTGACTCCTCCCTTTGGGCTGGCCCTCCGGCTGCTGTGGCTGTGTGAGGAGTGAGCCAACGAGGAAAGGTGCATTCCTCCTGTCCTGTCTCTCTCGCTCTGCCTTTCAAATAAAAAATATATATATATATTTTAAAGTGGAACAGCTGAGACTTGAACCCTCGCTCACATGTGCTGCTGCCATTGTTTTAAGGCAGCGGCTTAACCCACTGCTGACACCGGCTGATTCTGTTCTTTTCAAGGTGATTTTTGACTCTTCAGGGCCTCTTGTAATTCCACGTGAACTTGAATGACACCACTGACAGCAGGAACAGAGTGTCACTCTGAGTAGTTGGGGACCGAGCAGGGGCTGGCAGGCTTCTGGCAAATGACGGAGTGGTGCATCTATCAGGCCTTGCACAAGCGGGGTGGAGAGATGGCGGTTTTTAGCAAAGCTTCTTGGCTTTCCTCGGCAGCCTTTCCTCTTGGGAATTCTCCACAACGTGCTGCCTCAGTCTGTGCAGGAGCAGATGAGGAGCCCAGGCCCTGCACAAGGCTCTGGCCTCGAATTTCACGTGAATTGTGCAGCTGTGTGCTCTCGGATTAGGGA